ATGCGGATTCAATATTACTGATTTTCTCTTTATTATCTGACGATTATCCAGAATTATATTCTAGGTACAACCCTTGCTAAAAAAAATGTCTTGTTACCCATGTAATTAGAAGATATTTGACATACGATAATTTTTACCAAATCGTAAGACATTGGCAACATTATATTTGCTGTAGCGAATTGAAGTTTTGTCAACTCAATTTTTTTTTGTATTTCCAGAACTACTGATTTTGTCTCTAATTCAATTATTTTGTCGAGACAGCAGATGCAATGTGAGAATTTGCGACTAATATTTATTTACAATTCAGTTACCTTATCGAAACATCATGATGGCTTGAATAATATAACGTACACGCCATCAAGCACTTCAGTTTGATACTGGAGTGTCAGCGTTCTCTATTCAGCATAATGGAATACATACTAGGGTAATATGCATTCAAAGCCCAAATCGACTATGGAACCCATGTTTGCAAGCTGGAAATTCAGTTTCTAACTGAATGATGTTTGCTTAACAATTATCTAATAAGTGACTTACAGAGTTTTAGTCAGCTGACGAAAGTCTATATACTAGAAATTAAAAAATTACAATAAATTTCAATATAATTTTATGAAAATTAGATCTTATATTTTGTTTCAACAATAAATATCAATCAATGGGCTACGCTTCTAGGTCATACAACATTATAAATAAAATAATCACATATAATAAAATATATTAGTGAAAAATCGCATTGTTTAATTTATGTTGAAAGTGAAAATTTTATTTTTATTTTCAAAGTAAACGAACCAAAAAATAAAAATATTATCTAAATACCTAAATTGAATTATCACTGAAATACGATTATATACACATTTTGGGAAGTTTATGCAATTTTCCTAAGACAAATACACCTAGTTATAGTATATTTTTTATTCGCAGTGTTGTAAATTTTTTTACCCAAGTATTGCAAATCCATTTCTCTTTTCGGCGTAAAACCCTTCACAGATTATCCTCTGATCTGTATGGAATAAGGAACAAAGTGTTTTAAGCGACAGTTTACAATAGAAATCGCTCTATATTAGCCATGTGTAAGTTCACTTCAACAATGAGAGGAATTCAAGTACCGGGTGTCAAGGGTTTTAATAGATTACAAAGATAGGTTCCAGTGCCAAACTTTTATTGTTGTTTGCCGTTTTTTACAAAGCTGTGTACGTTTTTTTCTGCTTATTCAATTAAAGCAAATACATACCGGTGTAGTAGTAATGAGTTAGTATTAAATTACGATGGGATGATTTTATCTCTGGATGAAACATATGTTATCAATTCTATTTAGAATGTTTCACCCTCGTGTAAAGTTTATTGATAGAGGTTGTTAAAAATATATTAAAGGTAAATTTATACAAAGTAATTGTACAATGTAAATTCATATTTATATACAAAGTAAATGGTAATATACAAAGTAAAAATGTTAAACGTTTTTAATAAAAATTAATATTCTATTAATATATGAAGGTTAGATGTGTAGAATGTTATGTGCAAAATATGTAAGTGATGCAACCACTTCTTTTACAAATTATTTTCTTGGAACAATTGTGATTAAATTTCTTTCTTGCCTTTACCATTAACTTAAAATTGAAATATATTGCTAAATATTTTATATTAATTATTTTCAGTTTCATCAACGATTAAAATCGTTTTGATTGACAGTTTTCCAAAACCTGTATGAACCAAATTTAAACACACTACGCTTGTCGCAAAATAATTACTTTTCTTGTCAATTAAACACGATTAAAATTATAATTAGAAATAAGTTTTAATTAATCGTGTTATTTAAATGACATTTACATACACCGCCCCGATGGAATGATTAGAGTGTCATTCTGTTCATTTTCGCGTGCTGGATTATTAAATAAATGTTCATCTAAACTTTGACATGGAAAAGTTTGATATTTTATATTTTTATTTTATTTTTTTTTTATTAAATTCATTTTTAATTATTTATTGTTTTGTACTAAACAAAATAAAATTTGAAGAAACAGAGTTTTATTTTACAGATTAATTTGATTATAATGTTGATATAAATAGTTTCATGTACTTTTTTGTATATTTCTGCCATCATTCTGAAAAAACCGTAACGATTATGCAAAGTAAAAGATATAATTATTTATAAATTTATGTAAAAATTTTCCTTGTCATCCAAAGTATTTTTCTTGGCAAATGTTAATAGATCATGATGCAGGAATGTTTATGAAAAAAATAATAATATAATAATTTTAATAATAATAAATTCGTTTTCTTATTTTTTTTTCTTAAAAATGCAATGAATAAATAATGATGTTCAGTAAATTGATAGTAAGGGGTCTAAGGGCTATCAGTAACAGTAGTAACTAGTAACAGAGGTTTTTAAATAAGATTTTAAACAATATTTTTTTATCACACCTAGGGTTATTCGAAACAAAATCATGGGGCTAGTTGTAACATGTAAAAATCATATATAGATTCACGTGAAGAAGATTAGATGGTAATACCGCACTTTTTCAGATTAAAGATTTTTTTTAGATTAAAGAATTTGAATTGTAACACAGCACTTTTTCAGAAAATGATTAATTTTGAAATAATGAACAATAGTTGTGAAATTATTTTTACTTGTTTCGGTAGAGTATTAGTTACAGCAACTATCTATCTTTATATAGTAGAAATATAATTCGTGCATCTCAAGGTACAGTAATTTAAAAAAAACAGACTCCAACTCTTCATAAATTATTAAGAAAAAATATTTGAGTGCATAATTCAAAATTATTATTTTTTTTTGTAAAGAAATGTAAATAAACTTCAATGAAATTTTATTTATAAAAGTACAAATACTCAGGCATCAATATTTTCATACATACAATAAATTTAAATATTTGATTTTTATAATCATTATACTATTTACAAAAAAAAAAGATTCAAGAGCCGTTGATAAATTTACCTCGACTATACATACCCAAAGCAATACAAGAACTCTTACAAGCGGGCTCTAATAAAATATACTTTACCTTTGAGTTCTCTTTGTGCAAGCATTTCCATAAAATAATTAAATATCAAAATGAAGTTAAATTTAATATAAGCTTTCCTCTCTTAAAGTAACCGTTTTCTAGATGGAACTGAATGTCATTACAATCCACGTAATAAAATATTATATTAAACGTTCATAAAGAAACGGAGCATGTATAAACTCATTAAAATGGTAAAGACTTTAAATGTTTAATTACGCTTCGCATGGTGCAAAAGGTAGAGAGAATATTATGGGGGTGTCGGCGCAGGCGCTGACATTTTCGTTTTCTATTTCGACTTGAATTAATTTTTATCATATTTTCAAATTGGCTTTGTAAAATTCAATACGTATTGTATATACAGTTTACTATTTACTAAACACCTAAATTATTAAAAAATATTTATCTTCTGTATATTTAATAAAAATGGAACATAACCAACGCGTGATTAAATATAAAATTGATTTATATCCTTGCATTTCAGTTTTAAAGAGTTTACAACAACATTTTTTTTTTAAATTTCATATTCAGTTAAATTTTCTAATAGTAGTGATAAGTAACAAACTATAATTTAATTAAGTATTTATTATTCTTTTTCATGTGATACTTTTTATTAAAATACAATGAAATAAAATCGTGGGATTAACAATTCTTTCATATGAAAAAATAATCACTAATGTTTTATTATATTATTTCTTTTATTTGTAGTAATTATTAATAATGTGAATTAATAGTTTCACTTTGCAGTAAAATCATTTAGATATTAAGTGATTATTTTTTAAAATACTGTTCTATTACCATTTTATAATTACATATCGCTTTAAGTAAGGTTCAATATAAAAGTTCGAGTTTCAAAAACAATTGATGAAAACTGTTAAAATGATTTGTAATTGCAACTTATTATATTATTTATTAACAATATTTGATATATTTTTTTAAACAATTGCATCTTTAATAAATTTAAATAAACCATTAAAAGTTTCTCGTATTTTATAAATTGGTTAAAATTTAGAATTATTTACATAAATGTTCATGAATTGTTATATTAAAAACAAAGATCAAATTTTATTGAAGTATGTCATTATCAAATAAAATTATAAAACTTTATCTATTATTACAACTTTTTTTATTAAGAAACACGATCCGAAATGTTACAAAAAGTTTTTAAATTACTTCTAAAAACGTGTAATGCGATAAAATTAGTCGAATTAGAAGTTTAAATTCATTTGAATCACGCCTTGTTACACCGCAGTCCAATTAAAAAAGTTAAAGTTCATGATGAAACTTCATGCGCGAAGGATTATTAAATTTAAGACAAAAAGTGGGTTGCGTAATGAAATTATATAATGTTTCAAATCATTTTATAATTAAACTTTGGCCATACTTCACGAAAGTTTAATAAAGATTTAAAAAATCACTTTTATTTAACATTTATTGAATTAAAAAAAAATAAAAAGAAAAAATGAATAATTTTAAATAAAGTTATTAAAATTATTTTATCTCACACAATTAATAATTATTTTGATTATTTATTCAGAATTTAGTTAAAAAAAAGTTTCACTATTCATTTATTATTTATAGTCCCATTGTTCCCAAAAATAAATTCCGTTTCAGGGTTTTGATCCGATCCATAATTGGTGTTCTAATACAATGTGTATTGGACGGAATGCTAAAATTAACTAGTCGAAAAAGAAATGAGCGCAACCAAAATAACTCCTAGTGAAATCCACACGCCCGAGTATATCGACTGTTCGATACTTTGTAATATAAATAAACACAACGCACTGATAATAGAAATTGGCAACGAACACCCTGAAATAAACTAATATGCTTTGATTAGGTCTTACAATAATATGCAATAAAAACAATTCATAAGGTCACATGAAATTTAATTTAGCTTGTACAAAAGTAATCGTATCTATAAAAGATTATACATTAAATGTTATTTTCAGATGTTTTGTAAATACTTACTCTATGAAAACATTTACTCAAAAAATCACTGTATCATAACAATATTTACAATTCCATAGATGCACTGGTAAAAAGTCTTAAATAGCTTGTTTATTAACAACTTAAAGATGGTATTAAGTATTAGCTTAGAAGCACTTGCGGTGGACAATTCCGGGTCCGGATTCGTCGTATTCTTCCTTGGAGATCCACATCTGTTGGAAGGTGGAGAGAGAGGCCAAGATGGATCCTCCGATCCATACGGAGTATTTCCTTTCTGGGGGAGCGATGATCTTGATCTTGATGGTGGATGGGGCCAAGGCAGTGATTTCCTTTTGCATGCGGTCAGCAATACCGGGGTACATGGTGGTACCACCAGACATGACGGTGTTGGCGTACAAGTCCTTACGGATATCAACGTCGCACTTCATGATGGAGTTGTAGACGGTTTCGTGGATTCCGCAGGATTCCATACCCAAGAAGGAAGGTTGGAAGAGGGCTTCTGGGCAACGGAAACGTTCGTTACCGATGGTGATAACTTGTCCGTCGGGAAGTTCATAGGATTTTTCCAAAGAGGTGGAAGCAGCAGCGGTGGCCATTTCCTGTTCGAAGTCCAAAGCGACATAGCAGAGTTTTTCCTTAATGTCACGGACAATTTCACGTTCAGCGGTGGTTGTGAAAGAGTAGCCACGTTCGGTCAAGATCTTCATCAAGTAGTCAGTCAAATCGCGACCAGCCAAGTCCAAACGGAGGATGGCGTGGGGAAGGGCATAACCTTCGTAGATTGGGACGGTGTGAGATACACCATCTCCGGAGTCCAATACGATACCAGTGGTACGACCGGAAGCGTACAAGGAGAGCACAGCTTGGATGGCTACATACATGGCTGGTGAGTTGAAGGTTTCGAACATGATTTGGGTCATCTTCTCACGGTTAGCTTTTGGGTTCAATGGGGCTTCGGTCAACAAGACTGGGTGTTCCTCTGGGGCTACACGGAGTTCGTTGTAGAAGGTGTGGTGCCAGATCTTTTCCATATCATCCCAGTTGGTGATGATACCGTGTTCAATGGGGTATTTCAAGGTGAGGATACCTCTCTTGCTCTGGGCTTCATCTCCTACATAGCTGTCCTTTTGTCCCATACCGACCATCACACCCTGGTGACGGGGGCGACCTACGATGGATGGGAACACGGCGCGGGGAGCGTCGTCTCCGGCGAAACCGGCCTTGCACATACCGGAACCATTGTCCACAACCAATGCTGCTACATCATCGTCACACATCTTGACTGTTTGATTATTTTACTATCACTGAATAAAAAACTAACACGAGATGCGTGCACTCCTTGAGTTTGACTGACACAGTGAACTCCCGGCCGCAAGATGATCCTCTTATAGCCTCGGCAGTCGCGGCGGGACGAAAATAGCTTCGCACAGAATCGTTCTCGGGTGCTAATATGTGCATCTCTTCTCGGCCCTTTCCTGATACGGACTTGTGCAGCAATGTCGATAATAATGCATTTTATATAACATTGCTGATATATTATAATTTATAATATTAACTTCAACTTTATATAAAATTAAAAAATATATATTACATAATAATAGTCCAAATGAATCTAATACAAAATAATATTTAATTTTGATAACCGAAATAATGAATTAATAATTTATTAAATAATTTACAGCATTTGTTTCTAAAAATGTCAAAGGTCATTAATCATTTCTTACTTCAAACTCAATCTCTATATACATTTTATATATTATATTTTCCATTATTTGTCGCGTATTTAGACACAGATAATCGAATTCAAATCATGAATTCAGTACATATGTCATTAGGCACACATTGACACTTTTACGACGTTACATAAAAGCACTAACAGTGTTTGAATAATGCGCCACGCGACTAATGGAGACGATTACTCGTCAGTAATATATACTGCATGATTACTCAAATCAAATAATAAATATATACATAACTGGTCATTATCTTCCATAAATTATACTCAAATATATTTCTATCTTTCATAATTGGCGTTGTAAATAACTTTGGTTGCATTTATGTATTACATTTCGTACATGCTAAGCTATACTTGGCATATCATCACATTTTATGATTATCTATTTATATCAGCGTTTGATTTATTTATATCATGACGATTTATTTACATCTTATTTCTTTTGCAGGTTTGGTTTCAAAATCGACGTGCAAAATGGCGAAGACAAGAAAAAATGGAAGCTGCACGTCTCGGCCTGAGTGAATACCACGCGGTCAGTTCGCTCTCGAGGATAACAGGTTCCAGCTTAGCATTGCCCATGGACCCGTGGCTTTCGCCACCACTGCTGAGCGCCCTTCCTGGTTTTCTGAGCCATCCCCAAACAGGTTTAATAATCTTGTTTATTTGCTTAATCAAAATATAGTAAGCCTGAAGAAGCAATTTAAATTTATACAAATATGTTTTTTAAATATATTAATTGTTTTCGATATTCCGATATTATGGAACAATCACGTATTATAAAACGTTTATAATTGGTCTGCGAGTCTGATTACACATCACTCGCAGTTTAATTCATTACCGTTTATTCACTATTTCAAATGAAGTATTTGAAAACCTAATTTTTAATATATTAATATATTATGTATCGAGTGAAAATCATTATAATTTTACAAGACTGACAGTAATCTCATAATACAGAGAATAAAATAATAAATTTATTACATTGATTTTTCAACTAATAATTTTTGCTTCCCAATTGTCACTTTGACTTTAACATTATTAGAACGTTTATTTTAGGTTTAATAGTAGTAGTACCATTATTCTGTTATATTACATTGTTTCAAAAAAATTTTTTTTAATTTTTGATCCTTTTACGCTTGATTTTAGATAACAGCCCAATAATTAACCTATCTATATTTGATAGATTTTTATTATTATAATTTATCTAATCTGATAATATATTTTAATTAGATACTGCAAAATCTAGAAAACGAGTTTAACAAAAAATGAAAATAGAAATTAAATACTAGAGTTTTTGCGAATATCATTATTTTTCTTATAATAGCATAAACATTTAACAAACTCACTTCATACTACGTATGAACATTATATTCAGGGCCGGATTTAGAAATTTTACGCCCTGGGGCACTGAAAAAAAAGCCGCCCCGTACCAGGATTTTTACTTAAATAGTTTTTATATAAAAATTCATTTTAAATTCATTACGCATTACGTACTATAAATAGTGGTGCTTGGCATCGCGCCTTTAGGCAAATTGCTGGAACTTCCCGTACCAAAAATTAAAATAAAAAAAATATATATATATTTTCAAAACTTTGAAAAAAATTGACTATTTTGAAAAATTTAAGTTTTTTTACATATTTTTCGTGCTGCTTTGGCTGCGTAGAGTCAAAATATAGAAGCGCGTATGCGCCGCGTCGCAGTATAATAGATAAACAATGTTACAGAACCCATAGAAATGTAAACAAAATTTATACTTATTATTAAAATATCTGATTTTTTAATATACATGCGTCTAATGATCACTTTTATTGGATCACCGAAACCTTCATTTTGTCTATACATGTACATTTTTTAATGATATTGGACGTTCCGTTAGTCAAAAACTAAATTATTATTTTTGGCATTTCGGCCCGTATTTTCGAAGAAGTTGGACCTTCCTTGGCCAATAACTAATCAGCACGTCTCGTTATCAATAGGAATCGCTATCATTCAAATAAAATTCAATTTTAATAAATTTAATAAATGAAAGTTCATAATTTTCGAAAACATTCAAAATATAAAAAAAGTTTTAAAGCTCTTTATAAAATGTAATTTTCTGCGCTGAAAGTTTCGGTAACTTGCCTTAAGGCACAATGCCATGCGTCACTAGTTTAATTTTTTTGGCGCTATAAGCTTGGAAGTGCACAAATTCGTCATCTTAAGAATGCTCGAGATTTGAAGAACATATTTTTCTTAAAATTTCAGCTCATTTACGAATCTTTTTACTAGCAAAATTGCCAAATTTTTCATTGCAATCGTATTATATTTTGTTAATTATATTGCTCGAATAAAAAAAATTATTAAGAAAATGAGTTAATTATTTTTTTTTTTCACTATCCAAATTTTGCCGCCCTGGGCAGTAGCTCCGACTGCCCCTACTGTGAATCCAGCACTGATTATATTTATAATATACTAGCGGTGCCCTGTGTTATGCACATAAAGAACTAAATAAAAATGCTATTCTATTACATCTAGTATCTTTCGTGATTAATTGTTGAGCTGTATTAGATGCATCTTCAAGTGAAATGTCTTATTCAGCATCCCAATATATTATATAAATTATAAGCATATCAGCAGCATTTATACTGTAAAAACGAAACAACATATGTACACACATACATGCATCGGAGTCTTTTATAATTAAAAGTTGAAAATAATATCCTTGTCTAACATTTATATGTTACTATAATTTTTTTTAATATATATACTATATAAATAATATTACCCAGGTTACCCAAGCTACCTGACACCACCAGTCGTCGGAGACGCACCACCGTCTCTAACGAACCCTTCCCAGAGACACTGCCCGCCGCAATTGCCGCTCGGTGGTGCCGGCGCTGGTGACCAGCACTCGGCAGTGGCGTCGGCAAGTCCGTCGCCCAACGGGCACCTTCCACCAGGCGGCAACAGCGATCGAGACCCGAGATCGACGAGTATTGCTGCCCTCAGACTTAAGGCCAAAGAACACGTCGAGAGCCTGTCCAAGGGATTGCAGATGGTATAAGATGATTGTGTTAATGAATTTATGTACGTAATTTGATGTTCGTTTTGATTGGTGTATGGCAAATATAAAAATATTATTCAAGCATAAAAGGAATCGAATGATTTGCTACTATATTTTACCCTTTCCCAAATTTTATATTTTTCTAAATTAAGTTCAAAATTTGCATGTTTTTGAAATATATTTGCATAAATAGTTAACTGCATGTATTATTACTTAACACGTTCGCGGACGTGAATGCTATAGCATTTATTTTCTTTATGATACAGAATGACAAGAATGCTATAGTATTCAAATTACAAAGCCAATTATTTATTTTGAGTTTAATTCTATATAGTTTTACGTTTTGTAATTTTTATACATGTTTACCAAGGTAATGACTTATTCTTTAGGTATTTTCGTATTATTTTAATTTTTCCGTAGTCACTAATTAGCTTGGCTAATTAATGTGCTAGCACTGAGTAAAAGAGAGGCGTAATACTTGACGTGGGTGCTATAGCATTCACAGTACATGACTATTAAAAAGTGATAATTTGACTACTCTAATAAACGGTGTTCAATCAAATTTTGGATATCACAACCAATTTAAAAATAAATTACTAAATAAATTATAAGTAAGTTATTAAGTAAATTTTTGTACCTTGCTGAAAATTCTACTGTCCGCGAACGTGTTAATACTATGCTAAATCTATCAACTAATTATTAAATATTAAACTATAACTAAATAACAAAACAAAGATAAAATAAAAATAATAATGTTAATACGAAAAATTAATAATTGTTCAGATACATTTTTCTGATAATTCTATAGTTTTCATAATTACTATAACGTCATACATACCTATTGTATTCTTATAAAATTAATACTTGAATTTAACAACTTTTAAAGAGTGTTTGATTCGATGTTGCAGCTTTATTATATTATGTTTGCTTTTGTGTACATATATAATGAAATATATATGATTTATTTTATTTTAATTTTACTTACTTACTTACTTTCTTTTTAATGTTGCTTCATTTAACCAAATAATTTTACAATACAAATATAATTTTTGTTTAATACATAACTATCCCAGGTAATGGAATATCACTGTATTATATCTATCTGTTAGTTTATATATTCGAGATTTATATTATCTTTTGTAATATGTTTACATAAAAAACTGATATAAAAAAACATATTTCTTACTATAGGCCTTACATACTAAAATCTATCAACTAATTATTAAATATTAAACTATAACTAAATAACAAAACAAAGATAAAATAAAAATATTAATATACGTTTTTATCTTAATATGTAAGAAATTATAAAAATATATATGTATGTAAATACACAGATATATACATATATTGTCGTTTTGATTTTACTTCATATGACTTAATATGACATTTTAATTTAATGCAGAAAAGTTGAAAATCTTTACTAACCTGTTAAGATAATTCTCATCCCTTTTACATATTGTCTTCTTTTTTTGTAAAGACATTGTAATTGTAAATATTGTAATTGTAGACATTGTAAATATTAACGAAATCTCATATTAACCCATAGTTGATAAGTATTTATTATTTATGTTTATTTTTAGACAATTCGATTGTATTATTACAAGAATTATTCCGATTTTCCCTTTATCTTTTATATCAATGTAATTATTTATGTTTGATAAAAAATTAATATTTGTGCTTGAGATGAATTACCATAGTTTTTATTACATTTCTTTAAAAAAGATCTATTTAATTTATATTAATGGCTCTTTTATATTTCAGAATCAAAGACACTATGTGGATTTACTTAATGATCTGGGAATCAGATACGTGCAAGAAAATTGTTAATGAAGACATTTGTGTGAGATTTGGTATATATGTATAAAGTAATTCAAAATCTATAAATACAAAAGAAATATTTAACTTAATATTATATAGAGTATAAATTATATTCAAAGTATTCAGATGTAATGTGTGCATAATATTATAAGTTTTGAAACAATACTACAAATTATCGGATATAATTTACGATTATTCGTAGTAGCGTGCTGCAAATGTTTACACACCAATCTAGAATTTTATTTAACACGTGCCATATTATTGTAAATATATATTAGTGAAATTTAATTAGTTTAATATAAAAATATTATATTGTGCAGCATTGCACGAAACAAGTTAGATAATATAATCATTTAATAGATTAAAAGAATTTTAAAAAATAATTCAAATATTTGCGACACATTATAAAATTCTTATTGTTAACTTAACTGATCAAAAACGATTTTTTTTTTATAATTTTCATAATATTTGAACTACTATTGTATGAGCAATTACTGTTTGCTGTTACCAAAATAATAAATTTGAGTTTTCTAATCGTTAAATTGAATTCAGATCACTATTACAAATTGCAGGTCTCATTTTTGCACGAAAAAACTGAATAAGAAATTGCTTAACATTGAAATAGTACAATTTTAGTTAATACACGTTTATTGATTTCAATACATGGTTTTGTAAAAATATATATTAATGCATTAATACAAAAGAATATATTCGACAGAACAACAAAAAATATTTTGGTGATTACTTATATTTTTTCCAAGTTAAAAAAGCAATAATAATTGAATTATTGAAATGAAATTATCTTAGAAATTATATACCTGATTAATTTTTATAATTTTGTATATAAATTATATTATAAATATTTATGTTTAGTGATATTTATGTTTAATAAATTTAAAGAAATGTGTGTAAAAACAGTATGTGTTGATTTATATAAAAATGGAATTAATGATATAAAATAATGATTATGTGATTATGCTAAAAATTACTTGTAAATATTTGTACATATAAGTATTGAATAAATATTTAACGGCAAATTACTTTTCTTAATCGTTTCGATTTATTATTTTATTTTAGTGTTATATATATATATATATATATATATATATTAACAAAGTCTAATAATCGGGCATAACATCAATAAAAAACATGAATTTCTTTCAAAAATTTATTTTAAATCCATACGTTTCGGCTATAATCCTAGCCTTCATTCAGTGGAAACTAAAAATAAAATTAAAAACTAAAACAATTGAATTGGAGTGAAAAGAAAAAAATAAAATAGTAATTAGTACTTACAATTAGTTGATCTTAGTGTTAAATTGGAAAATTTTAATAATCCATGGTATTAGGATATGGTAATGCACTACACTATGTATTATAAACATTAACTTGAAATTACACAATATTTTCACAAAATACTGATTTGAAAAAATCACAAATGAATAGTGTGTTATTCGTAGACTGGTTGAAGATGTAATGGAGAAAGTCATTTTTTAAAAAATATTTTTACCAAGATTCTGCACATGTGTGGAACGAATTGTAAAACCTTTGCGCGAACGCTTTTATTGTTTTGTAAGAAATTTGGAAATGTTATCTAAATAGAAGAGATTTGTGTCGCACAGCGTGTTGAGTTCATTCCGTTTATTTATTGTCTTATTGTTATAAATAGTTAAAAAAGATCCCTCTATAATTCTTCGTTTAAATAAATTTTGTTCAAATTGTAGTATAGTCGGATTAGAAAAGTCCATATTGTGTTTTAAAGTGTATATATGGTCTGCAAGAACAGTTTTGAATTGTTTGGGGTTTTTTGAATTGTTTTTATGTTGTTGTAACCGTTTATTGAGGTTCTGGCTAGTTTCTCCTATGTAAATTAAATTGCAGTCTAAACAATTTATTTGATAGACGAGATTTCTGAGTCGTTCGATATTAAATGGGGTTTTTGTTTTTGTAAAAATAGTGCTAGTAGTTGTACTAAAATTGGTTACAAGTCGAAGTCCAGATTTATTAAAAAGTTTTATCCAAGGAACATACAATTCTTTAATGTATGGCAAACATATTACACCAGAATGAGTTTCTGAGTCAGGTAAATCGTTATGTACTGTGCAATTGTCCATTTTATTCAAAAGGTACGTTCGTCTGTTACTAGTTACGGAATTTATAAGTTTTAGGGGATAAGAGTTATCTGTTAAAATTTTTGTAATTAATTTGATGTTGTTGTCCCAAAATGTTTTGTCCGATAGAAGTATTGCGTGGTTCGTTAGATTTATTATAGTACCTATTTTCATTTTGAGTGGATGATAAGAAAAGTAATTAAGGTAGCGTCCGGAATTAGTTGGTTTTTGATACCAATTTGTTATTAGTTTGTTATCTGTAGTACGTATAAGTTTTATGTCTAAGAAACTTATCGAGTTCATTGTCTCCAATTCCACTGTAAATTTTAGTTTTTTATTGACGTTATTAAATTGATCAATTATCATAGTGACATCATCACTAGGGATACAAGTGATAATGTCATCTACATAACGGTAATAAAAAATATGTTTATTGTAATTTTTAAAAATTGTATTTTCAAGGAGTTGTAAGGATATTTCTGCTAGAGATGGACTTGCTGGGGACCCCATTGGCGCCCCAAAAATTTGATAATAGAAAGAGCCATTGAATTCAAAATAAGTGTTAGAGACAATGAACTTGACAGTTTCCCTGAACCAGTGTAAAGATAAAGAAGTCAACGGGGAAATTTCATTCCATCGGATTGTTATTGCGTCTAAAATAAGGTCTAGGGGTACATTAGTAAAAAGTGAGACTACGTCTAAGCTAATTAGTTTGTAGTTGTCTGGTATATAATTTATCTTGTGTTTTAAGTCAGTAACGAGTTCATAAGAATTTTTTATGTAGTGTGGTGATTGTTTTGTTATTGTAGTCAAAATGTTACTTATGTATTTTGAGAGTTTATATAGGGGAGTATTAATGTCGGAAACTATTGGTCTAAAAGGTAAATTATTTTTGTGGACTTTGGGAAGGCCATAAAGTCTGGGAAAATATGGGTGTAAATTTTTCAGGTCAGAAGTTATCTCTTTTGTTAGTTGTTTGTTTGTTGTAAGTTTGTCTAAAAATTTATGGCACGTGCGGTTTATGTAGTCAGTTGGATCGTTATTGGTAATTTTGTAAGTATTAGTGTCAAGTAATAATTCAGATATTTTATTTATATAGTCTTGTTTATCTATGATAACAGTGATGTTGCCTTTATCCGCTTTAGTGACCACTATATCCGGATGATTTTTGAGAAATATTTTGCATGCTTTAAGGTCTCTAAGAATATTATCGTAAGTTGTATTTTTAGTATTAAAGGAATTAATATGTTGGATGAATTTTTTACAAAAAAGATTTCTCGTGTGAATTTTAGTTTTCGGATCTTTAATTTGTTGTAATCCATATTCTAAATTACTAAGCAATTTAATAAAGTTAAAATTACGACAAGTAGGAGGAACTGAAAAATTGGGTCCTAAAGCGAATATGTACAATAGTCTGTCTGGTATGTCGATAGAAGAATAATTTTTTTTTAACCATTTATCAATAATATTTTTATCTAAAATTATTTTGTTTTTTTCTAATTTATTTTGTAATAGTTTATTGAATTTGTTAGTATACGAAAGTTTCAAACTATTGAACTGTTTGTTGTTTCTAATTGTTTCTAAATATAAAAAGTTTTCAAAAATATCAATTTCTACTGTGCGACACAACCAATTTGTGATTTTTTCAATCGTGTTTCTAAAATTACAATTATTTTTGATACACCTGTTAATTGTGAGTGTAATGTATTTTAAACTAACTTTTTGTAAACTATTGTATTGGGAATTATTACTAATGAATTGGAATTTTTTAATGTCTATTTCGTAAAATTTAGGAACAATTTTTTCTTTGCGACATCTTAATAAGAACACTTGTTTGTTGAAATTTATGATAAGTTTAGAATTGAGCTTAGAAATTTTTTTAAATTGTGAAAAAATGTAAAATCCGTAATTGCGCCTAATAAATTCAAAAAATGACAGGTTGTGATCTGCAAAATGATTTTGCTTTCCTTGTAATCTCCAATTGTTGTGCTGTAGAGTGACCATTTTCCTATTATAATGACGTAGTGGTTCCATGGATAATAATTGTGTAGTTGGAATTTTAGTATTTTATCTTGTATAAAGTACTGAGAGTAATGAATCCTTTTTTCAGCCCAGGAAAAATATTTTTTATGATTCTGAATTTGATGTTGACATATGTATTAACAAAGTCTAATAATCGGGCATAACATCAATAAAAAACATGAATTTCTTTCAAAAATTTATTTTAAATCCATACGTTTCGGCTATAATCCTAGCCTTCATTCAGTGGAAACTAAAAATAAAATTAAAAACTAAAACAATTGAATTGGAGTGAAAAGAAAAAATAAAATAGTAATTAGTACTTACAATTAGTTGATCTTAGTGTTAAATTGGAAAATTTTAATAATCCATGGTATTAGGATATGGTAATGCACTACACTATGTATTATAAACATTAACTTGAAATTACACAATATTTTCACAAAATACTGATTTGAAAAAATCACAAATGAATAGTGTGTTATTCGTAGACTGGTTGAAGATGTAATGGAGAAAGTCATTTTTTAAAAAATATTTTTACCAAGATTCTGCACATGTGTGGAACGAATTGTAAAACCTTTGCGCGAACGCTTTTATTGTTTTGTAAGAAATTTGGAAATGTTATCTAAATAGAAGAGATTTGTGTCGCACAGCGTGTTGAGTTCATTCCGTTTATTTATTGTCTTATTGTTATAAATAGTTAAAAAAGATCCCTCTATAATTCTTCGTTTAAATAAATTTTGTTCAAATTGTAGTATAGTCGGATTAGAAAAGTCCATATTGTGTTTTAAAGTGTATATATGGTCTGCAAGAACAGTTTTGAATTGTTTGGGGTTTTTTGAATTGTTTTTATGTTGTTGTAACCGTTTATTGAGGTTCTGGC